CGGCGCTGCGGGACCAACCCAGCAGCACCCCAGCTGCTCTGCCCCAGGCGTGTCCGATTCAGCCACTGGCGGTCAGTTTCAGCAGCGGCTGAATCTGGACGCCAGTTCCGACTTACATACAGATTCAACTTAAGAACAAACCTACAGTCCCTATCTTGTACGTAACCCGGGGACTGCCTGTACTTTTAAAAAGGAAGACATGCTGGATATGATTAAAACACAAAGAGACCACAGTGGACTCAATAATCTGGATATATCTCCATATTTTGATTTTAGTTTCAGCAGCGGCTGAATCTGGACGCCAGTTCCGACTTACATACAGATTCAACTTAAGAACAAACCTACAGTCCCTATCTTGTACGTAACCCGGGGACTGCCTGTACTTTTAAAAAGGAAGACATGCTGGATATGATTAAAACACAAAGAGACCACAGTGGACTCAATAATCTGGATATATCTCCATATTTTGATTTTCTTATGTTAGTTCTGATGTATTGGAGCGGCTAGTTTTGTCATTCCATAGCCCTTTTTGTCCATCACAAAGCTACCACATAATTTGGTGTATCTGAGCAGTCTTTTCTTCAGGGCCTGCATCCCAATGGAAAAAAAAAGTATAGTCTAGAGTAGTCCATTGAAATAGAAATGGATCAAATAAACGCATCTATTTAAAAAAATGTATAGGTTGCTAAAAAGTTGAATAGGTTTGAGATGACAAAATCCTGGGGAATAGATGTGGCATAATGTGCTCCTCTCTGCCATTCCTCAGAGATTAAATTTTCTTGAAAATATTTACAGGAGGGTGATATTTTATGGAATGTCAGAGATTTTTTTTGTCTATCCCTTGGTAATTTTTTCCAGTATTACACAGGACAAGCCACCAATCCTGTTCAAAGCACTACAGCATCCTCCAGATATCATATCCATGTGTGTGTATATATTTAATTATGTATCATTCATGTACGTATATTTAGTTAGTTCAAATATTAATGTGAGATTTTAATTAAAGAAACCAGCAGTAACTTGCCTTTAATCTACAGTGATGCATAAACTGCACATTGTGAAACAAACTTCATGTATATCAGTAATTAATGCATGTTTCATTTTTTTGTAGATTTCAATACAACTGCTCCAGAACAATATGATGCCTTACTTACCAGCAATATTGTCCCCATGTATAAAGAATTCAAAAGTAGGTTTCGAAGGGCTCTGCTAAATACTTTCCTGCAGATTATTAAATGGCAATTGACTAAACAAAGTGAAGAAAAAATTAAAAGATTTTAAACATTCTTTTCTTAACTCATCGTATTCAGTATACCCTGATCTAGTACAATTGCACCAAAAAGTTGTTTTTAAAAATAGCTATAGAAGATTTTAAAGCACATCCATTCTATTCATTTACTTTACTCTTTTCTCTGGACAACCCTACTTAAAAACTGTTTCTTGCTAATTGGCATTCCTTACTACTAAACTTCACAGAGATTCTTTGCCCCTCGCTACTGCCTTTGAATCACTCAGGTGGTGCAAAGAGAGAGAGCATAGACTGGGGCAGAGAAGTAGACAGGTTGGAATTATTAGCCAGCTCTGTGATATTGCTCCTACTTCACCACATGCATCTGACGAAGTGGGTCTTTGCCCACGAAAGCTTATGCTCCTACACTTCAGTTAGTCTATAAGGTGCCACAGGACTCCTCATCGCTTCTGCAGATTCAGACTAACACGGCTACCCCTCTGATACTTCACCACAGAATCTCATCAAGCCATATCTTTATTAAGGAGATTTATATCGGGTAGATGTGCTTATTGTACAACTATAATGAACCCTGAGGTTATTCCCGTCCCTCTATCCTTATTAGTAAGCATGAGGTGTGACTTGTCTACAGATGCATGTTTTATCTAATGGATTTTTTTTTAAGACAAAGAAGAATTATACAAAATGCTATAGGAAATAATCAAAAAGAGGAAGAAAATAAAAGTAACCGGACTGCTTTTCATAGTTCATTCATATCCCATGCGCTCAAATCACATAAAACAAAGAAACTCAGAACAGCAAAATGTGCTAAATTCCAAAGGGAAAATAAATAACTAGAGACAGAACACCCTATCACAAGAAATATAAAATTTGCTGGCCAATTACTGCAGTTATAGATTACATCATTAAGAAGCAAACAGAAAAGAGTGTTTTTTTAGCTAGACTATATATAACCGTGCATTTATCATCTCTAGTTTACATTGTAAAGATAAACGTTTAATTAAATTACAGAAGTACATTAAGTTAAATGGCCCACTGGTATTTGAAATGTGTTCAGCTGGCTCCCAAAAAAACACCCTCTCAGCACCTCTTGACACCTTTGTCAGTAATCTCAGCAGAGAAGCCAAGAACTGATAGGCATTGAAAATGAACTCTCTTCTCAGTTCAAGAATTTGCTTTTTACAAATTCAGGTTGCTGGACTGTGTGGAGAAGCTTGCACTTGCATAACCTTTGCCACATCTCTTCCATAGGTGAACAGAGTACATTGGTTTTATTAGTACCCGTTTCCCTCTAAATTCACTTAAAAATTATGCATTTTAAAAATATATATGAAATATAAAAGAAGTTGTGGCAATTTAGCTTGGAAAAATGTGAGGCAAAGAATGAAAATGTCTTTGGCAAAAAGTGAAAAAATATTTGCAGGCTCAGTCATATAATAGAGGAAGAACATTTTGGAACTTGTATTAAATATGTTCAACTATTATTTTAATGACAGAGATATGGAACTATTTCCATGAGGTGCTGCTTCTAAAGTATGCTACTGAGAGGAATGGACTGAATGTGGTCAGTGGACCAGTGTTTGACTACAATTACGATGGCCATTTTGATGCACTTCATGAAATTACACAGTAAGTACAAAAAAAAAAGGTAACTGTTATGTTCCAACCATATTTCATTCCATTCCACACATATTCTTTCAGGCTGAATGACATCTGTTACAGGTTAAGAGAATTTAAAAAGATCAAAAGTAAAGAATCCATGAGAGAAGCATCCAGTGTCTGCATCCTCTTCAAGCTGACATAATCCTTGGGAATGTAAAGTTGTACTATCGAGAAAATAGTCTTATCAGTTACATATTTACATGCTGATACTACACACACACAGATATCAAACAAACAGTGTACTAATCACATGAGTTACAGATGCATGTGATGTAGCTGGCAACCTTGATCTGCTTCCCATGAAAATGCATTTTTGGGGAAGGACTCTGCAACATCGGAACATCAAAATACCTATACTGGGTCAGCTCAATCACCTATGTAGCTCACTATTGCCCTCATCACAGTGCCCATTGTCAGATACATCAGCAAGAATGAACAGAGCAAGGAAACGTGAGTGATCCGGGCCCTGTCATCCAGTCCCAGCATTTAGCAGTTGGATATTTAGGGACATCCAGAGCATGGGGTTGCAGATCTGACCATTGTGGCGAACAGCTTGTGGAACTGTAGTAATTGGTGATGCTATAGTCAAGGCTACACTTAATGCCACATCTATCAAGGATATCTTGGAAATAATAAAATCAGTTCTGTCATGGTGCAGAAGGGTGGACAGGCTGGAGATTCCTCCTAACCAAAATGCTGTAATGCCCAATCAATCACATAACACTGTCTACATTTTTTCCACAAACATGTTTTATCCTGCACAGTTAGTCTGACTATACTGCACAGTTAGTATAAAGAGCCTGATGTGTAAGTGGAAAGTCAGGGTGCATAGCACATCTACAAGTCATTCAGCACCTCACAGATCAATCCCCACTGGGCTAAAATATTGGAGTTGAGAAATTTTTCTTGGTGAATACTAAACTGATTTAGCTTTATATAGTTGGTTATCAGGTATCCTTTCCTCCATGGCATTTCAGATTAGGCATTGTCAGCTCTCCCCCACCACGCTAATTTTCTCTTTAATTTTTTGCAAATCAAACTTCATTATATATTAAATTGTTAACAGAATTGAATAAAAATATCAAGCTTAATCCTGCAAGGTGCAGTGCACTTTGGCCCTGATCCAGCAAAAGCTCATAAGCACCCACTTAACTTTATGCATGTGAGTAGTCCCATTTGATTCCAGTAGGACAATGCTTAAAAATGGCTTCTAAAGCTACTGACCTTGCTAAATATTCAGACAAACTGAATATAGGCTGTTTTCAAGTTGTACAATTCTTCACTAATGTGTGTGTGTGTGTGTCTATAGATACACATACCATATAATCCCATTGATCAGTGTTTGTGAATTGTAATACTATCTTCATGTTGATGACTATCAAACTTATCCCTTAATTAATGTTATTTTATAGGCATGTAAACAACACACAAATCCCTGTCCCGACTCACTACTTTGTGGTGCTGACCAGCTGTAAGAACCAGTCTTATACACCATTGACCTGTGCAGGCTCCTTGGATGTTTTATCTTTTATCATTCCTCATCGACCTGACAACAGTGAAAGCTGTGTTGTAAGTATTGGTTTTGTCTCTGCCCAGTGTGTGTGTATGAACTGTGATTCCTACAGAATTGCTTCTGGGAGAGGCCTTTAGATTCCTGTTTATTTAACTCAGTCATTCTTGATTTAAACCAAAACCAGTCAAGAATGAAGGATGTAATTATTACAGCTTGTGAGGAGCTTGTTCATGTTGTCAGGTTGAGTGGTAGCAGCCTTGAGTTCTGAGTTACAAGAATTATTGGGAGGGTGAAAAGCTGGGGCATCAGGGAGTGAGCAGGTGAGGTAGATTCTAAAGAGTGAGACAATCAAGTAGGGAAACTACTAGCCTGCCATTCAGGCAGCAAGGAAGGATCCTGTGGGTGTGATGGGCTCAGAGCAGCTGTAATTTAGCAGGTGGCAGGGCCAATAAGAGCTACAGAATAGAGATGACTTAGATCAGTCCTCTCTGGCTATGTCTACACTTGTGGCTTCTTGTGTGAGAAATATGCAAATGAAGCTAAGCGTGGAATATCACCGAGCCTCATTTGCATACCTAATGAGCTGCCATTTTTGCAGAAGAGGCCCTTGAGCTGTCTACACTGCCCCTTCTTGTGCAAGAAAAACCCTCTTGCGCAATGCTGTTATTCCTGAAAATAATGTAGTGTAGACATAGCCCCTGTGTTTAGAGGGTTGCAGAAAGGAGAAGAACTAGTTTATGAAGAACTAGCAGACTTACCTGGGTCCTTCAGGGCAGGGGGCTGGAACTCTGGGGAATGCAAGACTCAGGGCAGGACCTTAGAGATGTGTGTATTGGGGAGAGTGTAGGAGGCAGGGGATGGGGGTACAAGGGTGAGGGCTGAGGTGTGGGTGTGAGTGGGAGCTCAGGGCAGGAAGTCCCATCCAGCATGGGCCTTTTCTCCCCCCTCCCCAACCCTCCTAGCTCTCACAGCTACCAGGGGCTCTTTTCTTGCCCCTCTTGATTCCCCCCCATCCCTTTTGCTGCCTGTGACCCTTTTCTCTCCTTTTCTCACCCCCTCCCCACCCAGAGCCCAGCTTCAAGGGGCCCTTTTCTCTCCCTCACCCCCACCTCCGCTCCCAGGCACCAGGGTCCTTTTTTTCTACAGCCTTCCCTCCAGCACTCCGGCCAATAGGGTTGCCAGGTGTCCGGTTTTGAACTGGACAGTCCAGTATTTGAGCTTTCTGTTCAGGAAACAAATTGAGAAAATAGAAATGTCCAGTATTTTCTAAATATGATGTAATGTAGATTGTGATGTCATGTCAAGTGTGTCCGGTATTTCTGTTGAAACCATCTGGCAACCCTACCGGCCAAGGGCTGGGAGGAGGCTAAGGATTTGGGGCAGGGGATACTTACTGGTGTGCTTGCAGGCAAGACGATGGAGCTCCAGCCCTGCTGGCCACTCTTCTTCATGACACGGCTGCCCCTAGTGGACACTCCCATATTGCATCCCTCCAAACTGCAGCCCCTCTCTTTTGTGTGTTATGGGAAACTGTCCTGTTCCCCGGAATTTCAGTTGTCTTGGCACAACCAAACTTGTTCTTAGACTATTTCAGTGGTAGGACAGCATCATCAAGATTACTCCCTTGGGCATAGCTAAGGAAAATATTACTTCTTGTTTTGTCTTTTGCTAATATTACCAGATAATGTACTTTTACATGAATGCTTTTTCTAAGATTGAAATTAATAGCCATTAACCTTGATGTTTAGTGGGACACTTTAGAGTACATAGTAAATAGGGGCATGTCTACACAGCAACATTATTTCAAAACAATTAACCTTGTTTCAAAATAACAGTCCATGTCTGCACAGCCAGGAGTTATTTTGAAAGAATGTCGAAATACTGTCAAGCTGGAGAAATTCTTACTCCAACTCCTGTAACCTTCATTGTACGGAGGAAGAGTGCTCTTTCAAAAGAAGTGCTGTGTAGATGCTTCCAGTTTTGAAATAAGCTATTTCAAAATGAGCTACGCAATTGAAGCTCTGCTGTGTAGACGCACCCTACGTGATAATTAGAGTCCTGCAAATCTGTGGGTATCTGCTTTATGTCCACAAGTATTGGATGCAGGCCTGCTGACAGTGGAGGCAGGGGCAAATGGGGCAACTGTCCCAGAAATTCAAAAGGGCCTAGGGCTTCTGGCCGCCAGAACCCCAAGCCCTTTATATTACCGCCAGAGCGCTGCATGGCACACTACAGACCCCTGAGTGGTGCGCCTCCGAATAGTGTTGGGTAGTGCAGCTCTAAGGGGGCTGCTCTGGCCCTGCCCCTTCTGCTCAAGACCTCCCTTCCGGAATTAGATTCCCCCCTCACCTTGTCCAGGGACCCACTGAGTCTGTTGGTTCACCTTGGTGGATGCAGATATTCATGGCTCATTTTTGCGGATACAGATATGGATTTATATACTTATATGCAAATTTTGTATCTATAACTCTGCACATTTGAAGATATCTGCTTTATATTTGGGGTATCCACATCCGTGGATATGAATATTTGTGGATAATTTTTGCAGATACAGATACAAATTTTGTATATATACAATTTTGTAGATGTTTGCTTTACAACAGCAGGTATCCACAGAGGTGGATATGGATATCCATGGATCATTTTTGCAGACGTAGATACCAATTTTGTATCCATTCAGGGCTCTAGTGACAGCAATGGAAAAAAAGTTTCCATCCTTTTATGAACAAATCTCTATAGTAATAGTCCAAACATTATGATGATTTTAATCATTTCTCTTAATACTTTATTTTTCTTTTATTTATTTTTTTTGGCAAACAATAGAAAACACTATACTGATTTGTAAGTGGAAGTGGTAATGTTATTCCACTGTATTTTGTAGTTGAAGGGCTACTGAAATTCAACAAAATATTTATCAGCAGCATTCTGCTTCTTTGTCACTTCTGTTTGCTTACAATCCTCTCTCAAAGTACAGGTTATTCCTCAAAGGTCCTGATATTATTCTATACATTCTATTCTTACATGCCACTATCCAGCCTAAATAATGAATTAAGTCGAGTATAACTAATTGAAAACAGTAATATCTGTTCAACAGAGTAAATCGACATCAGGAAAGAGATAAAAGATTCATTTGATCGAATTCAAACCAGACATCCATATACAAGACTATATAGATTTCCAGGAAGAGAATGGAAAGAGATTTATCAAGTGAAGGCCTTTGCACCATACAAGGCTTTTCTGTTGTTTGGCAATGTGAAAGAATAACCAGTGTTTGACCTTTGCATGTTTTGCTTTGGCAGGATGGGCAACCAGAATCCCAATGGGTTGAAGAAAGAGTTCAGGCTCATTCAGCACGTATTCGAGATGTAGAACTTCTAACTGGCCTTGACTTTTACCAGGATAGAGATCAACCCCTCTCTGAAATTTTACAGCTAAAGACATTTTTGCCAACATTTGAGACTATCATCAACTGAGCGTGTGTCAGTAACGTGGGGAAAAATCTAAGTAAATCAATTTTTCCTGGAAAGAAAAAATCAGTACAGTTCTTCAGTTGATCAATAAAACAATCTTGTAATACAATAAATGTAAATTTTATTTTTTTTCTCAATCCCGTCTTTTGTCATTTATTAGGTATGAGGTTGAAAGGGGCCCTTTTAAAATGTTGACTGCCAGATAATTTTATTTTAAAGAGTGCTAAAAAAATGTAGTGTACAGAAACAGGAGATGGTAGGCAAACTCCTACTAGTTGGTTTTCTTACTGCCAATTCAGGGGTATGGTTCTCTCTATTTAGTCCGTTGTTCTTTTACATGTTATAGAGGGCACTATGATCAATACCAACCAAGATAATCACAATTATTAATGAGGGCTATGTTTTTATTAAAGAAAGGAAAAGAAAACATTAAACAATGCAAAGGATAAACTGGTTGCCTCCATTACAAGTTCTTTTATATGTCTCTCCATGGATAACTTTTAATGGAGATTATTCCACTTCGTGAGTGGGGGGCACTTTTCTCTTAGAATACTTTGATCTTAACTCACCATTTCCTCAAATTATTATGAATTCATATTTAATATCTTATTGTATACTTAAAACTGGTCATAAAGTGGCAAAAGAATTTAAGGGAAGTGGAGCTTGTCTAGTTGTTAATAATCTAAACTGTCTACTTTGCCCAACAATAAACTCTGAAAATGAAGATAGTTAAATTAGTTACTTAAAGAAACCATTTCAGGAGCTGTCTGAAAACAGACCACTTATGGATGTTAAGAATCCTAAATCCACAGACATCTCAATATTTCTCTGCTTAGCCCCTGTATCACATCTCCAGGAATACATAGGCTAACCAATAATTTTTCAGGCTGTGTCTACACTGTGCATCTTATAATGGCGAGGCTGTGCCACTCCAGCGGTACTGGTGTAAGGGAAGCAGTGTAGCCACTCTTTGTCACTGGGAGAGCATATTTTAGTTAATTTCCTCTCACCAATCAATTTTCAAGCTTTTGGTTTCATGCCTTCAGTGTTGTCTTAGGGTTTGTCCACACTGGAAATATTACAGTGGCAGAGATGTAACCCAAGAGTACGGGGGTGTTGTTCCTATCAGTCAAGAGACAGTAACCAGGTTCCCAGAATTGACCTAAATTGTCTATACTGGAGGTTGAATTGACTAAACTACGGGTGCAGGGCTTAACTCGAAATAATCTATGCAAATTGAGCTACAACAATTGCCTAGCTTATTTCGAAATTGGGAGAGTCCACTCAGCACCTCTTTTGAAATAGAGCTCTCTTCCTCCGACTTCCCTTACTCCTTGTACAATGAGGGTTACAGTATTTGGAATAAGAAGTCCTCTGGCTTGACAGTATTTCAACATTATTTTGAAATAACTGCCTGCTGTGTAGCCATGGACTAAGTTATTTCAAAATAATGCTAGTTATTTCAAAATAATGTTCCTGTGTAGATGTACCCATAGTCTCTCAGGGATGTGGATTTTTCACATTCCTGAGTAATATAGCTGTGTCAACCGCACCTTTTAGTGCACACTAGGTCTTAGGTGACACTTTCAGGTCCTTCATAAGAAGTCTGTTTTAATACATATGCAACCTTTCTTTACTTGGTTCCGGAGGAGAGGCTGGGGGGTTGGGTTACATGGGCAGGGGGAAGGAGTGGGAGAACAAAGGGTTGGGCTCTGGCCAGGAGATTTACCTGTGAGACTCCTGGCCAGCAGCCCGGCAGGTTTCTCAGGCAGGCTCCCTGCCTTCCATATCTCTGCACTGGATGTTGGGCCGTGTGCTTCTGTGAACAGTTGCAAGTCCGAGGCGAAGGAGAAGTACTTCGCACACTGCCTAGTCTTCAAACAGGCAGCTCCCATTGGCCAGAAACTGGCCAATCTGTTCAGTGTATCAGGCTCCAATTCAGGACTGTGTGTGTGTTTGTGTGTGGATAAACTTTTTCTGCTGTACATGTTTATAAAGAAATCCAGAGCTAGGAAAGGGAATATGGCCTCTGGAAGAAGTGTTATGATTCAGGAAAATAACTAATTTCTGTAATCAATTAATAGTATGTAAATTTTGAGTATTACAATCAAATATGTAGTTTACAATTCATGTATACTGCATTTTGGTGCATTTGAGTTTAAAATAACTTTGCACACAAGAGTGTGCTAATAGACCCTGACTGCTGACTTGGTCTCAGAAAGGGAACAGGAGAGGGTTCTGAACATGAGCAACCTGAATATTCTAGTCCAGGGGCTAAGGCACCGTCTAGAATTAGATCCAGGTTCAACTTCCTGCTGTGCCATAGGCTCTTTGCTGTAGGAGAGTTCTCAGCTAGCCTAGAGCCAATTCCTGCAGTTCCAACCCACAGCCCCTGGCAAACCTACTGTACAGAAACTGTCTTGACAGTTCATCTGTACCGTCAGATATTCCCCAATATTTGTGTGTCAACCTTTTAGTTCTTCATGTGGTCCACAGACCTTCTCTTAAAACTAACATTTCTTGCTGTTTACAGAGACAGTCATGGGGAGGATTTTCCTCACTACTAAATTCAACAAGTGAGTCTAGTCAGAAGTAATTTGAGACATGTCTAGAGTTGGGACCCATTTAGTGGAAAGTTTGTGGGTTGTTTTTTTCCTTCTTTCCCCCCCTTATTACCAGAAGTTTGTGCCTGCATCACTGGGATCTGGAAACTGATACTGTAGTTCAACATGTTAATGGGTTAAATAACTGGACAAATCTTACAGTTTACTTCAGTGAAATTTTTAATTATCATTTAAGTATTATTTACCCCGTGTCAAGGATCCATGTATTGATTGTGTGTAAAAATATAAATTTGACAAACTGTACATTATACTAATGAGTCCCAATATTCTGTTAGTTTTTTGATTGCCACTACACATGGGGCAGATATTTAGAGACAGCTATCCATGAAGACTCCAAGATCTCTTTATTGATGAGTTCAGCTAATTTAGACCCCACCCCTGTGTATGTATATTTGGGATTATATTGTGTCAGCACGTGCATAACTTTGTATTTACCAATATTGAATTTCATCTGCTATTGTGTTGCCCAGTCACCCAATTTTGTGAACTCACTGTTTACCCTTTTTTTTTTTTCAGATCATTTATGAATGTGTTGAACAGCACTGGTCCCAGTACAGACCCCTGAGGATACCTCTGTTTATGTCTTTCCATTCTCACCAGTTATTCCCAGTCTTTGTTTCCTATCTTTTAACTGGAATACCGGACAAAGCTTTCAACTAAGGATCCTTAGTTTACTTTAATGACAAATCCTTTGTAATCTTTATCACTCTGCCTCTGCTTATAGACAAACTCTCTGCCTCACTGGCTGCGCTGCTCCCAGCTTTCAAATTCATCACATATCACATTTGACATGTGTTGCAATTAAGAGCTCTGTCTAAGGATAGGATGAATAGACTCTTGGTACAAAATTCAGGTGGGAGAGCTAGAATTGCTAAAAGACACCATGACATCCCTGCATAAGGCAGTGAGAGGGAGCAAGAACCCCTTACATAGCTGCACCAGACCCTAAGTCTGGACAGGAGGGAGTAAACAGATCCACTCAGCTGCTTAACCCTTCCTCACAGCAGGTGGGCAGGGCATGAGTGGGGAATGTGCAAAACTGTGTCTCCACATGATCTTTGCTGGCCAATACCACTAAGCTCATGATTTACTAGTGATAGAAGAAAGCTACAAATCCTTACCCCTTGGGGACAAAAGAAGAAGCAGGGAAGGAGCATTTTAGAGCATTGTTTTCCCTTTGTTCCAAAAAGCTGGATATTTTCAGCCCTCTGCAGGGACATTGACTCCAAATCAATCTAAACAGAAGTGCTTCCTACTAACCCACTGACAGCACTCCCAGAAGCACACTGTCTTCTTTAGATTTCACTTATCCAAGCACCAACCTACACTGATGCTATACTAGTCTTGTGAAATACCACACAGCACATTGCTCTATGGGTGCAGGTAAGACATATTAGCAAATGTAACTGATGTCCAGATAATGAAACATTATAGGCCCTGATCCTGTAAACTGCTCTGCACAGGCAGACTCCAAGCCAGTGCAGAGCAGAATCTAAGCCCCAGTCATAGAGTTTAAGACCTGAAGTGACCATCATACCATCTAATCAGACCTCCTCTATAGAACAGGTCACCACCATCACTTGGCCCCCACTACCTGGGTGGTCAGTGAAGGTAGTGCTGGGGGAGGCAAACTTCTAGCCCCGCACCTTCTGCTGAGCTCCCTCCCCCCACCACAGGGAGGCAGAGCAACATATTGTACACACATGCCTCCACAACCATGGGGAGGGGAGGAGAGCAGCCATGTGCCCCGCCTGGCCCTGAAGCACGGGGGAGGAAGGAGGGTGTATGACATGGCCCCAATCTCCCCAGCCTTGGAGCACTGGGGAGAGAGGAAAGTGTGCAGCGCAGCCCCCTCCACCCCAGACTGGGAGCACTGGGGAGGGTGGGCGGCATTTGGCTCCAGCCTCCCTGGCCTGGAGCACAGGGATGGGAGGTGCTCAGGGCAGCAACACTCCGCTCCCAGTATGCCTATAGTAGGCATTGGGGGGCGGGGGGGCAGGCTGGCAGTATGGGAAGGCAATGCCTTCCTCCACCTAGGATACAAGCACCCATGCCCCACAAACTAAACCCAGGATCAAACTAAACTGCAGGATCAGGGTCTTAAAAATATTTTTATCATTAACATTTTAAAATAAGCTCTCCAGCCCAATAATCTGCAGTTGAGCTAGAGCCTATGTAAAGGATTTCCCTTCAACTTGTATCTTAAACTCTAAACATTCAGAGAATTTATTATTGTCAATAAATTCCAGTGGCTTCTGCCCTTTTTTGGTATATTTCAGTGTTTAATAATTGTCATGTTAAGTTAACTAAGGAGAAACTCTCCAGAAACCATCTTGTCAAATACACAGAAAGTTGAACATCTTTAGTTCAAGCCCTTAAGGTCTGCATCTTTCCTGTGTAATTTACACTAATCAGATCTGAATTTTTTCAAAGTTGTTTTGGCGCAAGGCACAGAATCTATGTGGCTCAAGACTCTGCTGATCTTTGTGCCCCTCCTTCAGAACTAGCAAATCAAGCTCAAGTCACAGGAGTTCCCCAGTGATGGTCCTAGATATACAAGGGCTGCATGTTGCAAATACACTTCCTAGCCCCGTTGTCAGCATGACCCTGACCCAATGGATTTCATAGTGCTGAGCACTCGCTCGCTGGCAGCCAGGACCCTGTACCGTATCTCAAACTGAGGCACCCAAAGCCACTATTCAAGCTTTAGGCCCCAAATTAAAGTTAAAGTCACTGCAATGTTCAGAAAGATGTTGTGAAAAAAGCGGTGATAAAACAGGGAAAAGCCCTATCATGGCTTGAGAATTTTAAGCTATCTTGGTAGGGTTGCCAGGTGTCCGGTATTGTACCAGACAGTCCGGTATTTGCGCACTCTGTCCGGTAAAAAAAAATCAGTAAACACCGAACATGTGCAATGTCTGGGATTTTCTGATTTTTCCAGCTGCGCACCGGATGGAAGCCTGGTGTGGGCGTGGGGAGCGGCTGGGAGTCTCAGCTGGGTGGAGGGGCCACAATTGCCGCCGGGAGCCCTCAGTTGGTTGAGTGTGAGGAAGAGGGGAAACCTCCTCCATGCTCGTATGTCGCCGGAAGCCTGCGCGGGACAGGCAGCAGGTGCCCGCCGGGCAATTTGCTCACCCTCCCTCCCATCCTAGCCGGCCGGTTCTCCCCCACTTTCCCTCCTGATCTCCCCCGGCCCGCCC